TTATGTCTTTTCCAGACTGATTCCTGAATGGGAGGGTCTGGATTTATTATAATCAGCTGGTGGACTTTCTGTGTTGTAATGAGGAAAGTTGCAGCGTCGGCATCCCTTTAGGAATAATTAACCCTTACAGCGTATCTCACCAAACATGAAATCCTTATTGTAAGCAGAGCAATTTTTTAATTTTTCGCACACATGTCAAAAATCTGCATTTTTACGTTGAAGACTACTGAAAGGGTTACTAAACTAGCAAGCAGTACATATATGCAAAACGATTAAAAAAAAAACATTTTCAAAGGGTTAATACTTACCTGTGTCTTCGCTGCGCGCTCCCGTCTGAAGAGTCTCGGGCGGCCGCATGCGCAGTTCAGATCTTCGACCGGGAGGCGAGGAGAGACACAAGGTAAGTCTATGGAGCAGCGTGCACCCGCACAGACACCGTGGGACAGGAAGTGCCAGCTAGGAGTCAGCGCTGGATCGGAGACCCACACCATCAGTGGAGGGACAGCTAAAACGTACAGGAAAGAAGAAGATCGAATCAAGAGGCATCATTTAAGGTAAGTCCTGACACTAGCATTGGGGGGAGGGGACAATGTGCAGTATATATTTTCTGAGAACCAGAGGTGCTGCACTCCTTACCGGAAGGAACCCGTATGGGTGGGTGCTCGTAGTGACCACGGACGGCACCGTGTATACCATAGAAGAAGAAATAATGTCACCAGCACACCATAGTAGTAAAGTAATAATCCATTTCATGGCACATTGCCATTCGATGCAAGCGCTTTCGGGGCCTCAGGGGGTCCCCTTCAGGTAATTCTGAGCCTGATGAAGGGGACCCCCTGAGGCCCTGAAAGCGCTTGCATCGAATGGCAATGTGCCATGAAATGGATTATTACTTTACTACTATGGTGTGCTGGTGACATTATTTCTTCCTCTATGGTATATATTTTCTGAACTCAGAGGCTCTGAAGAACTAAAAGATGGTAGTTGCCATTTTCTTATGTTGCGCAATATTTTCACAACTGTTTATTTTCAGGACAAAATACACTAAAAGGAAGGCAACATAATCCCCATTTGTGTTCAACATTAAAGACGAGGTTGTGTTGAGTAAAGAGATATCAAACACAACCTCCCGCCTAATGGAGAACGATTACATTACCAGGACTGATCAATAGTCGACACTTTAAATTCCTTTCAGTGAATGAGTGACCTAGAATTATTTCTCACTCCAGTGTGTGTGGTGACCAGGGCCGGATTTAGTCTCTCTGCTGCCCCAAGGCAAGGTTCCTCAATGCGCCACCCTACCCGCCAAACCCCCCTCCCCTACCCCATGGAGAATGGCAGACCTGCAGGCTGCATACAAATGATCTTGGTGACATCGCCGGGATCACTTGTACAAAACAAGCGGCGGCTTCCCCGCTGTAGATTTAGCTCTGCTTACCCAAAGCCGGGCTAAATGTAGAAAACAACTACCAGCCCGGCGCCCGGAACTGCATCTCCCGGGCGTCGGGAGATAGGAATTCCACACCCCTGCTGCCCCTCTACCTCCTGCTGCCCCAAGGCCGGGCCTCGGTTGGCCTTGTGGGAACCTCCATGAGACGTGATGATGTCAGTGGACCTTAGACTGCCAAAGGGGAGAAGAGGCTGCAGGGATTGGTCCAGGAGCCTGCAGGGGGCCGGGGTTAGGTAAGTAAATCTGCTTTGCAGGGGTGGGGGGAGGGTAGCCCTGCTGCAAGGGTACTTTTTTTTCCTTTGCCCAGAGATGGGCCTCAAGAATGATGTAATATGGAGACGCTCATCCTTCAGAATGTCCCGGGATCTTACAGGTGAAGGCAATAAGGTCAACACATCTAAAATGTTTTAGATATTAGTAGACACTTTTATATGAATGATATTGACATAAAATATCGGCTTAATAATGTCAGCAATCGCAATCAGTGGCTTCCAACTGCTGACAGGTTTGAGGATTTCCTGTGAGGTGGCAGGCCGGAATGTACCTATGAAATGACCGGGTGTCACACTGTATCTATAGGGGAACCTTGTGTGCCAGGAATCCAACATAACTAGAAACGCAATGCCAGATCAGCCCGGCCAGAGAGCTCCTGGTAATAGCACAACCAGTACTGAGACCAAAGATCATTCTGTTTTATGATTACATGTATAATATATTACTCAGATTATCCCTGACACTTCCCATTTCAATATAAAATATATTATTGGCAAAGCGTTCATTAATAAAAGGAACCAAGTGTCATATCAGTACAAATGCCACATCTGTTTCTTAACCTTTTTATCCCCTAGTTCTCTTTAGGGTCACAGGAGAACATATACTAACCAACTCCCGTGACCCAAAGCTCAGATATAGCGGGCTATTGCTCGCTATATACTGAGAGCGCCGCAGCCGTGACGGATCCTGACAATACTCTCATGATCCGCCCAGCTGCGTGAGTGACAGCTGGCTCTGCCTATCTAGAGGCAGAACCAGCTGTACCTGCCCCCTCCCCCGTCCGTTCCGCCAGTCAGCGCTAGTCAATCCCTGCGGGGAGCGGGGACTGACAGTCTGCAGGGAGATGATCAGGAAGTGAGCAAGCAACGGTATGTGTTATCTCTCTTTCCGATCTATTGAGCCGACGTGTGACAGTTTCATTGTCACACGTCGGCTCTAACTATGAGGATGAGTGTACATAATTCACCTCAGAGTTCTCCTTTAATTATCTTGTTTGCTATTTACAAAACTCATTATAAAGAAAAAGTAATGGCGGGAAAAAACACAATGCTTGGGTTAACCAATAATTTTTGGCATATAAATTCTTAATGGTCCGCATAACTGAAGACATTGCAGGGGTTTCTCTTGAATCTTAGTGAGCTTTGTGTATCTCTACCAGATCTGTGCAGTAATCCATTGTGAGAGTTTGTGAGACTTGGAGCTTCATGTAATAAAGACCACTCACTGCTGCTCTCTCTCCTTGTGCAGGGTGACTGGTCTTGTCTCTGCCCCCTCCTGTAATAAAGACCGGTCACTGCTGCTCTCTTTCCTTGTGCAGGGTGACCGGTCTTGTCTCCGCCCCCTTCTGTAATAAAGACCGCTCACTGCTGCTCTCTTTCCTTGTGCAGGGTGACCGGTCTTGTCTCCGCCCCCTTCTGTAATAAAGACCGCTCACTGCTGCTCTCTTTCCTTGTGCAGGGTGACCGGTCTTGTCTCCGCCCCCTCCTGTAATACAGACCGCTTACTGCTGCTCTCTCTCCTTGTGCAGGGTGACTGGTCTTGTCTCCGCCCACTCCTGTAATAAAGACCGCTCACTGCTGCTCTCTCTCCTTGTGCAGGGTGACTGGTCTGTAGTGGGTGAAGCCTGCTGGGCCATCTTCCACAGCTCTGCAATCTGCACAGGCTATGTACAGCACAGTGATGGTGCCACTGCAACTTTTCCAGGGTTATAATTGCATTTGGAAAGGCATTTGGTGCACAAAACTTGTTTGTATTGTTTGTGGCTATTGGGGAATACATTTAAATAAAAGTTTTAATTGAAATGTCGACTGGAGTTCATCTTTTTCCCTGTTTGCATCCCTTTGGAGGTACCAGGCAGGCTGAATTTAATGAAAGAACAATTATATTCTCATGGGTATATATGAAATGTGATGGAATGACAGGCGTATTGTTATAAACACTGAAACACTCGTTCCAGCAACCCTCATGTCAGCTATACGTGTACAATGAACATTCTCCATTGCATCCTCTCCGGCAACTCCACACCCAGCAAACATAATCTTACTCGCTGTCCCAGGCACAATGAATTCTCAGTTCTCCATTGTTAAAAAGTTAACCACAGTGGAGAAAGAATCATCGCTTCCCCTAAAGCTGACCACACACACCAGCAGAATTTCATGTAAAAAAAATCCATCTTTGAAACATTTGTTCATAGTTACATAGTTACATAGTATTTGAGGTTGAATAAAGACACATGTCCATCAAGTCCATATAGTGTGTGTATAGGTGCTATGACTATAGAACATCTTGTACATGAAAATCATATCCCCCCTTAATCTCCTTACTTCCAGCGTGAACATATTTAAATTTAGTAGCCGATTAGTAGTAGTAGATGTTCGATTTTCTATTAGGTAATGGAGTCAAATAATTTTCTACCACAGTGCTGAAAAACAAATGCAGGATGGAAAACGTTCCTCGAATGAATTCAAATCTAACAGTGAACGTTGTTTTCATTCACGAAACTCTATTCATTCCGAAATCGAATGTTAAAACCAAACAAATTTGGAACGACATTCGTCAAATCTAATGGCATCATCGAACGTTCTGATGAGATTTTAAATGGTCAGCTTAACAGGCTCAAACCCCTCTATAAGAGCCCTTTATATACCCTGTTTCCCCGAAAATAAGACCTACCCCAAAAATAAGACCTAGTACTATTTTTGGGAATTGCTAAAATATAAGACCTACCCCGAAAATAAGACCTAGTTGTGACCATTCCCAGGGCCGGTGGTGGCATAAGGGGGATCTTGAAGAGCCGTGGGAGAGGCAGGAGAGAATCAGTGCCAACAAAGCCAGCACTAGAGGAAGCGAGGCGGCAGCGGAGGGAGCAGAGCCGCATATGCCGATGCCTCTATAGCGCCGGCTCCTGTCACAGGCGGAGTGATACCAAATGCAGTCCGCCTGTGAGAAATCCATAGTGAAAGCGCGCTTCCCTCATTCTGGCCAGTGATTGGTTACCAAATTGCTCTTGGAAAGGTACGGCACCCCTGATTGCCCTGATCACCATATTTTTGTATATGAATACATGTAGACTTTTCTATATGAATAAGTGTGGATTGTTGTACATTAAAACAAAAAATAAGACCTCCCCCGAAAATAAGACCAAGTGTGTTTTTTTGAGCCCAAAAAAATATAAGACAGTGTCTTATTTTCGGGGAAACACAGTAGGCGCCGTGTCACTGTTGTTTAGATCTATAGCTCAAAAAAGAAAACAAAAACTCTTTCTGTTCCCTTCCAGGTTTCCAGGTGACTTCTCATCTTCCGGTATTCCACCATGGCTGAACTCACGGAAAAAGTAACCAAGTCTCTAAATAAAACCACCCCAGGACTGCAGATATGGAGGATAGAGGTAAATGAGTAGTACAATCCACGTAGTCATCGTATGCTGACTGCTAATAATTCTGTTTAAGCTTTGCTTCTATATATGGTGCATATACACTTAGTGGCCAGATTATTATGACCACCCCATCAGTACTTCGTTGGGCCGCCTCGTGACTGCACGAGATGATGAAAGGTGATGTGAGGAATCTGACACTGCACTGTTGCCCTTCTGTTGTCTTGTACCAGTCTTGCCACTCTCCGTTCTGCCCTAACATTGACTAGTCGCTGACGGCCACAATTCCCACGTTCAGACCCAGATTTTCGGCTGACAGTCCGGTCTTTAAACACTTTAACAACAGCTGCTCTTGAACATTTAACGAATTCTGCTGTTTTGCTGATACTCGCTCCATGGCTCCGAGCGCCAACAATCATCCCACGTTCAAAGGCTGTTACATCGCGTTGTTTCCCCGAATCTTCAGAAACAAATCACTTCTACTGTCGTGGTAAACAACCCGCTTCCCTATTTATAATGGTCTGGCCCTCTAGCAACTTCAGCGCCAAATTATAGCTAATTTGCCTACAAACGTCAGGTGGTCATAATAATCTGGCCACTCAGTGTATATAATAATCCGGCCACTCAGTGTATATATATATATATACAGGACTTAAATTTGGCTTTTGATCTGTAACTATTACAGGTACTGTATAAGATCATGCATATGTTACATAATATAAAGAGTTATTATTATTAGCAACTCTCCAACGTCTGTCACAGATGATATCTAGCTCTAACTTACTTTATACACCATCAGCTAAAACTAATTCTAAAGGTTGCTGAAATGTATATGTTACACTCATCATGATACATGCAAAATTTTAGAAAAATAAATTGCACTTGTAAAAATGACCTTCTCAGTCTGTCTGTCGTAATTTGACAACTCTTTATGAGAAGACTTTTGGTTGAACTCGATGGACGTGCGTCTTTTCTTCAACCTTTGTAAGTTTGTATTGCAATGTATCATTACTAAGAATTTATTGGTATATTTGTTTATTATTACCTAATACGCCCAGATTGGTGCATCGTTCTCTGTATATGTATTTCCCTGCGTTCCATGAACTGCATTTCTGTCTCTTCCCTTAGAACATGGAGATGGTTCCGGTCCCTGAGAAGACCTTTGGGAACTTCTTTGATGGAGATTGTTATCTGCTGCTGATGGTGAGTTCCATATTGTATATACACTGATCAGGCAAACCATCCTGAACTCTGAGAGGTGAAGGGAATAACATTGATTATTCAATTCCTTTCTGTTACAGACACACAAGGTCAGCAACAACTTCAGCTATGACATCCACTTCTGGATTGGGAATAATTCCTCTGTGGACGAGCAAGGAGCAGCCGCCATTTACTCGGTACAAATAGATGAACACCTGGGAGGTGTGGCCGTGCAGCACCGCGAGGTTCAGGCATTTGAGAGCAACACATTCAAGGGCTACTTCAAGCAGGGCATAGTGTGAGTATGACGTCAGCTCCTCCTGGGTGGGTGACCCTTTAGGTGCCCATACACCTTACGAATATCGGCCGATTTTCGGATGCGATTGTGTTTTCGTCCGATATTTGTAAGGTTGATGGGCAGTGTACAACCGCGAACAGTGTACAATCGATCGACTTTTGACTCTCCAGCAGGTTAGAAAACTTCGGTCCATTGTGCAATTTTCGCAAGGTTGGTGGCGTTTCCGTACGTCAAAATTAGTACGATCTACACTGCACATGCGGTCGATTACTGCAGTTCGTCCAGGTGCTTTCTTCTAATTACCACTGATCCAACCTTGCGATAATCGGGGCAGGATGGGGCCGCCGTACGAAAATCGTACGACGGTTCGATCACCGGACAGAAAGTGTAGTTTGATCATCGCAAGGTGTATGGGCAGCCTTAGGGGTCTGTTACATAGTATTTGAGGTTGAATAAAGACATTAGTCCATCAAGTCCAACCTATTAGGATCTCATTCTAGGAGTACAGTGACACCATCACATTAGACACCATCACATTAGAAAATGCACAGATTTTCCCTTCAAGCAAAACAAATGGCAAACGCACTCATCAATTTGTTACCAGCTTTGTGCATCCCTGTGCCTTTAAGTGAGGTTGGGCTTCCTCCTGACAAACCTGCACCCAATTTGATCCTTTGCCCCATGTGCTCCAAGATGGAGACTCTCATAGGTTAGAGTTAGGACCGCACTATAAGAGGTGCCTTGACGCGGCTGAGCGGCTTTCACATTTTCTGCAGAAGACGTGTATCTAAACCTCTGTTTTTAACCTTAGCGGTGAGACGAGTTTTTTTGCATTCTGGCTGGCGAGTGTGCTGGGAAAACTTTTTGCTGTTTGACTTTCCCTTCAAGACGCATAATGCGATTTTGGTGCCTTTTTAACACAAGAAGTGTTTTATGAGCGCTTTGCTTGTGTTTTACGTAAATGTTCTCACTTTTCATTGCCGTCATTTACCCTCTTAAAGGAGAACTATGAGATGGGTGCTTTCCACTCACCTCATAGTTCTAGCCGACCTGTGACAATGAGACTGCACAGGTCAGCTCAGTAGATCGGGAGTTGAGCGAACACATACCGGCGTTCGCTCACCTCTCGATCCTGTCGCGGTTCTCTGCCGTGACAGGGAAGGGGCTGGATTCCCCCCTCCCCGCTCCGATCCGCCAGCGCTGACTGGCAGATCGGACGGGGGGGGGGGCGGGGACAGCCGGGTCTGCCTCTAGATAGGCAGAGCCAGCTGTCAGTCACGCAGCTGGGCGCATACCGGCACAATTGTCGGGATCCGCTTCAGCTGCGGCGTCTCAGTATATCGCGAGCAACAGCTCGCTGTATACTGCGGCGTCTCAGTATACCGCAAGCTCACTGTATACTGAGCCTAGGGTGACGGGAGGATGCTAGTTTGTGTCCTCCCGTTACCCTAAGGAGAACTATGGGGAAAAGACTTAACCCCATAGTTCTCCTTTAATTCTGTGGTTTGTGTTGTAAATATGGACATGTGACTTATAAAAAAAAAGCCACACACATAGCTCGCTGAGCTCCCCTGTTTTCCCGCACTAACATAAAAGTATTGGTTCTACATACATTGTAATGTGTGAATTTCCTCTCTTATTTCTCATAGTTATAAAAACGGCGGGGTAGCATCGGGAATGAAGCAGGTTGAGACGAACAGCTACAACGTAAAACGTCTCTTGCATGTCAAGGGAAAGAAGAATGTTTTAGCTGGAGAGGTAAGGCTCCTTACGCTGCACCGGAAGACTGTGAATCCTGATACTATCAGCATTGTAATGCATGTAGAAGTATATATCTCAGAATTCTTCAGACGTCTGGCGTCTACGGTACAAGCTATACTAAACCTCAGGGTTTCCAGTGAAGGGCACTGCTAACTCTACATCATAGAAATACACTTTAGATAGTTGTGCTCTTTCAGCCTTGTAGTCAGTTTGAGGAAGTCCTTTATTGTTCTGGCATGACTGGGCCCCTATGCACAAAGCCAGCACCCTAAAGACATGGTTTGATGAGTTTAGTGTGAATAAAACCTGTTGCTATCAGTGGCATGAATAGTGCCTGTTGCTGTCAATGGGAGGAATAAAACCTGTTGCTGTCAGTGGGATGAATAGTGCCTGTTGCTGTCAATGGGAGGAATAAAACCTGTTGCTGTCAGTGTGAGGAATAGTGCCTGTTGCTGTCAGTGGGCAGAATAGTGCCTGTTGCTGTCAGTGGGAGGAATAAAACCTGTTGATGTCAGTGGGCAGAATAGTGCCGGTTGCTGTCAGTGGGCAGAATAGTACCTGTTGCTGTCAGTGGGCAGAATAGTACCTGTTGCTGTCAGTGGGCAGAATAGTGCCTGTTGCTGTCATTGGGAGGAATAATTTCCCCATTGTGTCAATGAGAGAAGTAGAAGCAGAGTTTGGGGACCACTGTCCAGGAGTATGAGCTCATGAAATCCACATAAATCACTACACGAGGCTTTAATGACTGGGGCAGGACTCCAAAATCCCATCAACTGTCGCTGGATGTGGTCTTGTACAACTCGTGCTGCAGAGTGATCTAACGTCCCCTTGATGCTCCATTCATGTTGCGATTTATTTGGATATAATAAGCTCATTTTCTCTGATGTGTATTAGGAGCATTAATTATAATGCTGTATTATACATTTCAGAGTTGCTTCCTGAGACCAGCGCGTTCTGTGTCTTTTACACAATCCCCAGTCCGCATGAAGAGCTGCCAGCCACTGCGAAATAACATGTATAAAACACGTTATATGCGCATAATGTATAATCATAGGGAAGACTTTTGGTGAAATGAATGGTGACTTTGTCTTTTTAAAGAACTCTTTACTGGCCACGCTAGGCATGGAAGCAGATCCATCCTAGCGTGCTCAACGTGCGTACTTGCTTGCAACTGGGGAGCTACAGCTGCACCTTGCCAACACATGGCATGCCTGCAATCCCAACCTCAATTTGATGTTATCTGAATGTACAAATACTTTCATTGCAGTGAATGACAGATCGCCTCTAGTGGGAATCTGTATGTATGATACGATAATATGGTACAGCGAGCGTGTCATTTGTCGCATAAAAAATGTCATGAAGTTAAATATTCAAATAACGATTTAAACCGGTCACAGGACAATACTCTGCCACTGACAAGACGGTTCTCTCTCCACAGGTAGCTCTGGACTGGAACAGCTTCAATACCGGGGACGTGTTCTTGGTGGACCTGGGAAAGTTAATCATCCAATGGAACGGACCTGAAAGCAACAAAATGGAGAGACTGAGGGTACTGGTCATGTTTATTTCACATACTGGCTGGCTTATTTATTTGGGGGTTTTAGGTATAGATACACTGTAAAGATAAGATATTATTATAACATAATAAACATGTTACCTTCACTGGGTTCTTCACCGTTTTCTGCATCTTCAGTGGATGGCGTCCAATCAACTGTTAACATTTAAAAGTGATCGGAGTGATGCGGGCAGTTCTGTATTTGGTGTAATATTCATATTGGTTCACAACAAGATACTACAAAACAGTATCAGGGGCCCCCTTCATCTGTGCATAGGCGTGATACCCAATAGGGACAATCCCGGGATGGCACAGTCACCAGAAATAGTTGTTTGCTGAATAGACTTTAAACATATCCAGCACCAGTAGGTCAGTAAAACACGTTTTATCGCACCTAAGCCCTGAAGAAGGGGGAGAGCCCCTGAGATGCGTCGGATGTTATGAGTTCTCTTGTTAAAAGATTATTCAAAAGATTTTGGACTGTTAGGCCCTTTGTTTGGCACTCTCATTTTCTGTACATGTGGATTTTCAGTTCTCTGTCATCCATCTACTGGACACAGTGGCGTCACAAGGGGGGTGCGGGGGGTTCGGCCCGCACCCGGGTGTCCCCATTGGAGGGGTAACACCAAAATGACTAACAGTACTTGCCAGTAGGGGATTCAGACGAGATGGTGCTATTGCGCGTGCGCCAGCTGTGGCAGTTCAGGATCCTCGTCGAGTTCTCCAATTCCCGTCAGTGTTCCTGCGTAGCTTCACAATCCTCGTTTGCAAAGCAAAGGAAACCAATCAGAGAGCATCTTTCATGTTATGCCATCGGGTGGACATGCAGCCGCAGTAAAGCCAATTGGAGAACTTGATACTGCTCTTGGGTGGCCGCGCAGCCGCACTGATGGGAGTTGGAGAACTCATCGAGGATTCTCACACTCCCATGGCTGGCACACTAGCGTCATCTTGTTGAAATCTCCTACTGGCAAGTCCCCGGACGTGGCATAACGAGTTGGAGATCTCAACAAGTTGGCCGTTTCGATTAAACACTGGGACGATTGGGCCTATTTTGAGGGGTGGGCCTCTATGTTAATCCAGACCTAGGCCACCCCTAAAGACCCCCCCCCCTGCGCGTGCTGTCGATGCGGGGGGGGGGGACGTTGACCAGGTTTTAATTTTTGGGCCCATTCCTATTGTTCATTAGAATAATTATATGCATGGCCATCTGCCATCTTACATCCTTAGGTCTCCCTAACCTCACATATACAAACACTATAACCCTTTACGCGGCGCCATACCCCATCAGCAAACTGCTGCAAATCAGTTGTGTTTTTATATATTAAAAGTAAAACTTCTATTTCTATAACATAGTTACATTGCATTCTATAGGGCATAACAACAAATGTTTGATTCATCGCAGGGCATGAACCTGGCGAAAGACATCCGCGACCGGGAGCGGGGTGGACGTACTCACGTTTTTGTGGTGGAAGGAGACGACGAAGAAGCAACACCCAAGCTGATGCAAATCCTGACACACGATCAAGTACTGGGGAAGAAAAAGGCGATTAAACCTCCCATAAGTGATGACGTGGTGGACACAGCGGCCAAAGGATCTATCAAACTGTATCAGTAAGTGGCAAGGGGACGGGCTTGGACAAATTCAGCGTACCTAAAGATAGGCTTCCAAATGCTCTTGTTACGATGCATTGTTTGCAGCTTTAACCCCTTGAGGACACATGACGGGATTATCCCATCATGGGTCATGGAGGGCTTAAAGAAAAAACAAAATGCACACAAATATTTGCAACTTGCTCAGATGGATGACTCTCACTGCACCGGATAAGCCCTGGAAGACAGGAGTCCAATCTGAACCCGGAGTTTTCTCAGCACTAGTGTACGGGAGGCCAGAAACATTTTGTAGATATTATCACTCCAAAGAAACTGTATTGTCATTTTATTTTCACTAAAATGTCTGATTTTCTTCTGTACACAGAGTATCAGATTCTAATGGAAACCTGATGGTCCAGGAAGTGGCTACTAAGCCTTTGACCAAGAACTTGTTGCAACACGAGGTAAGTCCCGCTGTCACGTGGAGCACACATACAGATCATCATAGCAGAGAGCCACTGTATAAAAAATAGACCCCATGTTCTGATAAAAAAACAAACACCTACGGCTTAGCTCACTTGGATCTCAAAGCACATAACTGCCAAAGAATTTGTAAACCCGTCCTGAGATTTACACAGACCTGCCAGACAGTACAGCCAACCTGGTGACCTGCCTTTTCTATGTTGCAGTTAAGCAATACAGCTTGGTCACCTCCCCACCCCCAGCCTTTGATTGGTCACTGCTGCTGCTGCAGCCGCCACTGTAATGAGTCATCCCTTTAAGCTGGCCATAGACAGGTAAAATTTTGTCCATTTCCTGCTGAATCAGCTGAAAGAAAAAGTCTTTTTTTTTTTTGATTGGCTGCACACTGACTATGGCCAATCGGCTGCATGTGTATGGAGTTTGACCCTGCTAGACTTTCTGGGGGGGGGGCTTCCGTCACTCTAAGCACATCTTGTCAAGCTAAAAATTGGTCTGCAGCGTGCCAATAATGACTCTTGTCTTGTCCCGGGCAGGACTGCTATATCCTGGATCAAGGCGGAATAAAGATCTTTGTGTGGAAAGGAAAGAATGCTTCAAAAGAGGAGAGAAAGCAAGCCATGCCTCGTGCCTTGGTGAGTAGATCAACCGCCAAAATGTCCATCATCGTCTACCCAAATCCGCCCATGAGGGAGCTTTATAAGGGCCTAAGGCTTCCCCCTGAAGGCGCTCACTTTGGTGTTGTCAGTAATGCAGTAATTGATGTGTATCTAAACCATTTCTATGAATATTTACTTCTCACTATGAAGAGAAAATAT